AAGAGCGTCAGAGAAATTGCCAGTACTTGAAAAATTACAAAAGGAGCTAAGTAATTAGAAAGACACAGTTATGCTTTTTGAGTGTTTTTCCTAGTATAGGCAGACAAGAAACTCTCGGACGCAAGACATGGGTCCAAGGAAAGCTTTTCCTTGAAAGTTTGGTCTCTGTACCTTCCTATTTCTTCACCGACATCCAAACAATTGGATTACCTCTCAACTTCTCCAAAATAAAACAATAGAAGACAGAAGGATTGAACTTTCTCCTAATTTAACTCATTATGTAAGCATATAATTCTTCAGTGAAAAAACCAGGATACTCTTTCATATGGAATAGAAGAATAGAGCTTTTTACATAACTAATAAAACTGCCCAAGTGAATAAAAAACAAGCATTGTGCGGGTCCTTTGAAATATGGTCACGAAAGGGAATTAGAAAAAGTTTAGCATGTTAACCAGTTTCCTGCTCGAATTCTTCACCTTCAGATTCCTCTGCATTGTCAGCATCGTCGTCATCTGCGTCGTTGTCATAGTCTTCCTTGTCATTGTCAGTAGTGGTTTTCCCAATCACAACAACGTTGCTATTAGTCTTCCTGATTTCATTCAGCTGGAAAACCATTCACATGAGATATTAACATCTCAAAGAGGAGTTTTAAAATAAGTGGCAGGAAAATCATAGTGCAAAACCTTTTAATAAAAGTAATATAACACTTGTACTGTTGTAGACATAAACAAGAGCAAAAGCATCCACACAAGTAAGAGAGAGAAAACGGGATCATTATTCATTAGCAACTTCAAGTTATACATTTTCCTCGACTCGCTAATGCTTGAAGACGTCTGCTCAGATCACAATCTCTACAACTATGAGATATTTAGGTCCCCAAAAAGAGGGAAAAATGAAGGCTTAAAATGGGGTTTATGCGCGATGGGTCAGTGGTGGAGCTAGGATTTTAGTTCAGGAAGGGCAAAACTAAGAACATGAAAAATAATAAAAACCCTCAAAATATCAACTCCGAATAATATTAACTAATTGGAAGCGTGTGTTAGGCACATATATAAATAAACTTCTTGCTTAAATATCATTCTCATAACTTATTAGTTCATAAGAAAAAAATCTAGTAGAATGGACGAAATGGTACTATAGAGCTTGTTTAATAGGAAGGAAAAGTAGAAGGATGATTAAGGATCAGAGGATTAATGGAAGGATTTTTTGGAACATATGATTTTTTTTTATAGGATGGAAAAGAGTAGGGAATAGACTTCAAAGAACCCAAGTTTTATCTTCCAAATATAAAAGGATCAAAGTAGCCAATCGATACCAAACACAATAAGAGAAAAGTCCTATTCCTCTACATTTTCCTCACCTAAACTATATACCTTTGTTTCCTTCTTACAAAAACACAGCCTTTAGTCCCAACTACCCAAGTTTCTGTAGTTCTGAAATGAGCTCAGAATTGTCAAACGCATATTCTTTACTGATACACTGACCTTCAAATCCAAATGTGTGATGCTTTGACGCTCCAACCAACTGGGGTTCCAAATCACCACTTCTTTATTATTATTATTTTTTTTAGGAGTCAAAATTAAGTCCTCATTTATTTCACTGATTTGAGTTTTTAATTCTAAATTTTTAGAGTTAAAAAGCTATAAAAAAATAACACGTCTAATTTTTTAAAAAAACTCTAATAAAATGTTACATCTCAATTCAAATTAAAAATTTGAATCCGCGAAGGAGCGAGGCCTAAACCTCTTTGTCACTGTAAAAAAAATTCCTTTTAGATAACTTGTAACAAGAATGTAATTAAATTGGTCCATCACAAGCTCTAAAAAAATCAACAAACATAAGATCTTTTTTTTTCCCCAAGAATCCATTTGTATTACAATCCTGGTCTAAAATGTAGACAAAATTAAAAAGTTTTAAAACTTCGTAGTCTATCTCTTTCACCCCCTTAAGCTCATAGAGTACTTTGCAACTTCCTTTCAACTCAGTCAAGTATACGCACCAAGAAAAGGGGAAAAATAAAATTTCTGAGAAGAAAGACTCAAAAGACTAGAATTTAACTCTTAATTGCATATCAACCCTACACAGCCATTTAACTGACGAACCCTAATCTTCTTCAAAATTTATATGAAATTTTACACTAAAATGGGATGAATATCGAATTAATTCTTACCCGATCAAAACAAACTCACATTTTTTTTTAAAAAAAAAAACAACAAACAGCTTGAAATCGGAAGCATTTCTCGTTTGTTTTAGAAGTCGGAGAGATTCAAAAGGGGGTGAAATGGTGAATTTATGTTACCTTGTCTTCAAATTCGGACTCTTCCATGGCGAGGAGGAGTTCTTCGTTGTGGGGCTGAGGCCACTGAGATGGAAGCAACAACGACGTCGGAATCTTCGTCGTCGACCATGTGTACTCCGTCATGAACCCCGGGAACTGCAACATTTTCTCTCCACTTCTTTTCTTTCTTCCTAGGAAAAGATTTTCAAACGACAAGTCGCAGTCTCATAGCCCATAGGTGACTTTCAAGTGGTGTTTCTATTATTTTATTATTGTTATTATTATGGTCTTTTTAACCCGTTCACCTCACCGATTTGAGTTTATAATTAAAATTTTATTATAGTAAAAAATTCTCATAAATAGTCACATCTAATTTTTTTACTACAGTAAAAAATATCACATAAAATCACATCTCAACTCAAATTACAAACTCAAATCAACGAAATGAACGAGTAAAGTCATTTAAATTTTTTACTTTAACAATTAACTCTTCAAATTTAGAAATTTATTGTAATTTACCATATTTTATAAAATTTGTTTAAATTTTTATTACATTTAATGTATTAAAAATTTATAAATTAAAATATTTATGTTATATTTAGATTGAGATGTTTAAATTTTTCGTTGAACGTGCTTTTTTGATACTAATTTAACTAGGGATGTTCGCAGTCAATTGGACGGTTTCTTTTTTTTAAAAATCACTAACCAAACTAAAGATAATTTTTTCTTTTGAGCGGTTTGATATTTATGACAAAAATTAAATTGAACCAAATCACTCATAAGCGATTCGTTCAGTTTAGTTTGGCCGGTTTCAACTTAAGACTAAAAAAACTTTCAATAATTCATAAAAATTATAAAATCGTTAATTCAAAAAAATAAAAATAAGATTAAAGTTTACAATATAACTCAAAAATAGCATATGTCTAATTGTTCACCATTTAAAATTTTAATACAAACTAACAAAGATATAATAAGGTGTATTTTATAAGTGTAGAACCTTTATTATGATCAATAAAAACTAAAATAAATATAAAAAAATATTTTAAAAATAAAAAAATATATACGTATATTTTTAGGTTGTTTGGAGAGTCCAAACCACAAACCAAACCATCCAAAAAATTAGATTAAAAAACCTACCAACTATTCAATAATCTAAAAATAATTAACGATTTAGTTCGGTTTGATTTGAATTGGGCGGTTTTCACGGTTCGACGGATTTTTTGAACACCCCTACATTTAACACAATCATCGTCAAAATGGGTCGTATTGCAACAACTTTAAAGTTGATGAGACAACTTGTCAAAATTAAAAGTTTAGTAGACAATTTGCTAAACTACAATAAGTTTATGGGATAAATATGCTAAAAATCCTTGATAGATTGATAGTCTTAGATCTCATCAATAATTACATTAAAATAAAAAATAATATGTCGAAAAATAGTTTTAATAGAGATTTAACTATTGAAAAATAAGAGATCTATTGATTGTATACACAACATACGTGTTGTAGCGAAAAAACTGTTTATTCCATTCCTGCACTTGTTACCTCCTTTCTCTATGATTAGCACTTACAATTCACGGTTGGGACAACGTCATAACAGTAGCAAAGTTTAAATATTATTTTAGACATTAATTATGTAAAAATTTTAAAACATAAGTTTCAAAACTAAATAAAATCAAGAAAACAAAAGAACCAATGTGTTTGAATGACTGCAGAGCAGCACTAAGTGTAGGGACAAAACTGATTTGACAAGTCCAAATTCACTAATTGCGTATCAATGATGAGGACGCAATATTTTGTGTGAAGCTAGACCAATTTGATCGGTTTTGGATTTTTTTTTTAAATATAATTTATTTTATTGAAAATTTACCCCTTTTTTTCTTTAAATTTAGTTTTTTAGTTGTTAGTTTTTAAGATAATGTTTAAATATTGATCATTAAGGGCACGTTTGGTTCATGCGTTTAAATAAGTGATTTTTGATTTTAATATTTGAAATTCAAATTTTTTGTGAAAGCAAAACACTATAGCAGAATCAAAATCATGAGTTTAAACGCATCAAACAAACGGGCTCTAAGGTTATTTATGTCATTTTCAACAATTTGACTACTTAAAGGATTATATTTTAATCTTTTAAAAAACTGGTATAAGTTTGAGATAATTGAGAAACATAAGGGACAGTTTTTTAATTATGAAAAACACAAGGGTAAATATTGGATTTACTTAAAACTGAGGGGTACATTTTAGATTTTCTCATTCTTATCAGAGAATCAGAGAATCTCCCACACTCTCTCTCTCTCCATGCAGCAGGCAATACTTGTGACTGGCTAGCAGGGGAACATTTTTTCTTTTGATCTTTAGACTTTATTTGTTCGTTGCTTGCCTTGTAGTCTTGACATGTTGAGTATTTCTTCATCAAGCATGTCTCCACTAGGCGTATAAAATGAAATTGCACTGAGGAAGGAATAGTACAGACACCCATACCAATTCATACCCATCTTTTCATCTCTTTCAAACTACAAACAAAACAAATCACCTCCATCTCCAAGTCATGGCTGAACCTTTGATTTCCGTCCTCTTGGAACAGCCGGTTTCAGCCACCATTGGAGAGGTCAAACAACAAGTGCGGCTTGTAACCGGCGTCAAGAAAGAAGTGGAAAAGCTCAACAGGAATCTCCGAGCCATTGATGCTGTTTTTCTTGATGCAGAGAAACAACGAGTGCGTGATGCCTCTGCGTCTCTTTGGTTGGATAGGCTCAAAGACGTTTCGTACGACATGGACAATGTGCTGGATGAGTGGAACACACTACCGTCAACAGAATTAATTCAATTTTAAAGACGGATAAGTGATTTTTGTGATCTTAAGAACGATTAAGAAGGATTAAAAAATGGTCAGAAAATAAGAACATGCAGATTTATAATAGTTCATCTTTAATTCAAAAAGGTACGTCTGACTGAAGAGGAGAGAAATTCA